AATTGAATTTTAAAAGAAAAACTGGAGATAGCTTTTTGGCCCTGGGAAGCCTTGCAGCTGGGGCTTTACCGTCGCTCTGGGAAGGCTAGATGTCAGCTGCCAGATCGAGCCAGTGGCCCGCTGACCACTGAGAATGATAATTAACTCACCTGGTTAACCGTGGGAGCCTACGCTTTGCCCCTGAGCGTTCACGCTTCCAGCTCCCAGGCTCCTCCCGAGCCGCCTTTGACTCCCGGCTCTCGTTCGCTGTTCGTACAGAAACCTGGAGCACATCAAGTGGAGGGGATGGTTTACAACAAAACCTCGTGAATTGATTCCGTGACCCAGCGGAGGCTGTTCACAACGATTGAGTGAATATAGAAATGAGTAATCGTACAGCTGGACTCGGGGCTGAGCGCGGCCAACTCCATTTGACGCGAACCGCAAGGAAAGCGAGGTGGACGCAAAGCTGCAGAGTCCCTGGGTCGTGGTAGAAGCTGCAGGAGGTTGCCCTAGGCTTCCCACCACGTCTACCTGTCCTCCTCGTGCTGTGGGTTCTCCTCAGCACCCGTGTATTTAGACTCATCCCTTCTCTGCAAAAGCTGCACGACTGGGAATCTCTTACCCAGTGCAAATGCTTGGCCAGATTCTGCACCAGGGGAAATGGGGGGGCCATCAGAGCCCCCGTCCCGGGCTCCTGACCCCTTGCTGTTCACGCACACCCGCTTGGCTACTCCAGCCCACACTCACCAGGCTCGGAAAATAATCCCGGACTGCCTCAGTTTCCAGCCACCGGCGCTGAGCCCCAGGAAGCCGGGTTCCTTGCTGGCTGGTCAGAGACCCGAGGAAGTGGGCGACAGAAGCCTTCCAACAGGTTTTCCGCACGTGAGTGGCAGCTGAAGCTGACAGATCTCTGTCATTAAAGGCAAACCTGGCTGATGAGCAGCAGAAAGGGTTCAATCTGAACCGGTCCCCCGCTGCGTGGAAGGGTACGGACACGGGGCTTCACGCTCGCCTTACAGCCTCGCCTTCTCTGCGGCCAGCCGAGAAGCAGACGGAGCAAGGAGGCTGTCCTAGGAAACACGGCACGGAGAGGCAGAGCACAACACATTTATTTAAAAAACGCACACCAGAATCCCACTGACATTAAGCATGGAGACTAAAGGTTTGTTCTTATTTCCCAAGAGCCCGGGAGTCCTCTCTCCAGGCCAGTGTGCCAGCACACCTGATATCTCAATATAACATAATTCCAGGGGGTGGGAGGAGTGGGCTGAACACCTTAGTGGG